AAGACTAGTAAAAAATATATGCTAGCTTTTCAGGACTGTAAGCCTCAACATACTTCTCCGATTGCTCAGGATTATTCCAAATTTTTAATAGATCATCTAGTGTCCTCTAAGCTCTTTCTACTACTACGCAGTATTTTGATATCTATTACTTATGCTGATCATATTGAATAATTTCTTCTCTAACCTCAGCAATATAGTCTTTGTTTTAAAGAATCTTCAAATAAAGAGTCTCTCTCATAAAGTCAATAAAAGCCTTCTAAGAATTGTTAGATAAATCCAAATTAGTTTTTATAACTACTTCATCAATTTCATGATGCTCAAGTCTAAAGACAATGGCTTCTCCTCCTTTTGCCAGTTAATTAATTTCGATAACATTTTAATACTTTTTGGATCTAATTTTTAGATATTCTTCTAACATTTTAGCTGTAGGAGTACTTTCACCATATGATTTGCTCTGATCATCAACTAATGCTAAGGTTTAATTTTATGAAGCTAACTCATATAATTGCTCTAGATTTTGCTAGAAGTCATCCTTGAATTGTTCAATAATGTCACTTAATGTCAATATTGAGTTGTTTTTAATCATCATATAGAGTTTTGAATCGTCCTCAGTTGGATGTTAACCATTTAGACTAGTGTTAGTTCTGGTCTGGTTTGGAGAATTATAAAATACACTGGTCTAATATTTATGAGGTTCCATTTGATATGCAGCACCTGGATTTAAAGTCTTTTCATTGAAGCTATCATCTTCATCATCTTCTTATTCCTAGTCTTCAGCAATGGCTTATAGATTTGTTTTAATTTACTGATAGTTTACCCCAGCTACTTTATTTTTAGTGATGGTGACAGCATCCCCTTCAGTAAATGGCCTATCTAAATCTTCTTTAGTTATTAGTGTTACATTCGATCATTTCATATCCTTTTATGATTTTTATGTAACCTAATCAGCATTAAGAATCAAATTTTACATTTTTCTCCAAAACATTATAGGCTTAGATTATATTTTAATGTGATGTCTCATGATGCTAATTATTGTTTGGCTCAAAGACATGAGCTCTTTGCTACAAATACTCAGCAATGAAAACTATTGGGTCGCTAGGTTAATCTATAGTAACTTGTTTGAAAGCACCATTTATTAATCTATCAATCCCTGTTTGAGAAAGGTAATATTATATCTTATTCTGCATTTATACAGAGGAAGTTGATAATTATTAAAAATAAATCAGTTAGGATTCGATTAAATTAAATTTATTTGCAAGACTTTTATCTTTAATTTGATAAAAACCACCAAGCGGGGTTTTGGGGTTTTGGGGTTTTGGGG